CCCGGATTGTTGGGGGCGATATGCTGACTCTGTAAACCGCTTAGAGGGCTGAAAGCCCTATGAAGCGGTATATAAGTCTAACTGCTATTGCTATTCCTTCACATGCATGGTATTTAGCAGAGTTGGTCTGTTCCATCCTTGGATAGTTATGGGCCTTCTTTTAGATGCCCAACAAGCAAGCAGCTCAGTGCTGAATGCTTTAATCCCTGCCTCCTCTTTGCCTGACAGCAAGGATCAGAAGAAAACAGGTGGTCCCCATCTGCCAGGTGCCACTTGCTTTGTTGCTCAGGCTGAAATGAGGCCCAGGAGCCTCCTAGAAGTTCCTGTAGCATAGGAGTGTCAAACTCGATTTTATTGAGGGCTGCATAGGGTTATGTTTGACGTTGGGGAGCTGGGGGGGGGGCATGGTGGGCATGGCCAGCTCGACGTCACTCATGTCAGGAGCACCTGTGGTGGCCAAATGCCAAGGTGGGACTTCCCTCAGCCTCCCCTCACTCTCATTATAATCTCTTTCCCTCCTTCCTTCCTTCTCTTATTTTTCCATCCCTCCTCATTCTCCTTTCTTCTACCTTCCCCTCTTTCCTTCTTTTTCCTTCCTTGCTCACTTCCCAGCTTTCCTTCTTTTTGCCTTTCCCTTTCTCCTTTCCTGTCCCTTTTTGCATGTTCAAATGCAAAAGGGGAAACATTTCTCCTTTTGTTTCATTTTTGGTTTTAGTTCTGCTAGCCCTGTGCCAGAGAAAACGGAGCTCGGGGGAGCTGCGTTTTTGGCTGGGATGGCCTCCTGCAATCCCCTACAAGCAGAGGCACCGCGGGCCAGTTCTTTGCTGTTTCCAGAGCAGCCCTGCAGGCCAGATCTAAAACCTGGTGGGCCAGATTCCCCCCCCCCCCGGGCCTCTAGTTTGACACCCCCGCTGCAGCAAATCACTTTCTGCTTGTATGCTGGGCAGGGACAGATATGAAACATCTTGCTCTCCATAGGATTCTATGAGATGAACACTGCCCCCTAGAGTCAGATACGACAGTACAGGGGAATCCTTTACTTTTACCTTGAAAGTGGCCACAGAGAAAGAGCAAAAGCATAGCAATAATGTATTTTTGAAAATATTTACGTGTAGACATTGCTTATCAGCCATCTCATTTAATGGCTATTTGTAGTTACAATATCACTGAAAAAATAACTTTATGACCAGTCCTCATGTTTACAACCAATGCAGTGTTCTTGTAGTCACATCAAGTGACTACAAGAACAGTTCTAACCTCTTCCACTATGTTACCTCCACTAGGTCAATAAGATCCCATAGATTAGGCCTCCTCCGAATTCCATCAGCCGGTCAATGTCGACTGGCAACTACCCGGAGGAGAGCCTTCTCGGTGGCTGCTCCGACCCTATGGAACGAACTCCCCGTGGAGATTCATACCCTCACCACTCTCCAGGTAGCCCTTAAAACCTGGCTGTCCCGACAGGCCTGGGACTAAAGACTTCAACCCCACCCGAATAGTATGACTGTTGTGCTTTTTAACGATGTATTGTCTTCATGTGTATAACTTGTTTTGTCCTTCCCTCCCCCTAAATTGTGAGCCGCCCTGAGTCCCCTCAGGGAAAAGGGCGGCATACAAATAAAGTTAAAATCCAAATCCAAAATTCTATAGAAGAGGTTCCACAAATCTACAATGCCATTTAGAACCGGTTCCAGCTCCCTCCCTGCGCCCGTCCGCACATCATCAAGATGAAGAGCCAGAGAAGGAATTCTGAGAGTTGAAGTTCACAAGTCTTAAAGCTGTCAAGTTTGAACACCCCTGGGTTTTTTTTCCTAAAGGGTTAGGGATGCAAGGGTCTTGTAACTTGACAGTTTTAAGACTTGCACACTTCAATGCCACAGTTCCTGAGCCAACATGACTGGAGGAGGAATTCTGGGAGTTGAAGTCCACAAGTCTAAAAGCTGTCAAGTTTGAACATCCCTGGTTTTTTTTTAAAGGGTTAGGGGTCCAAGGGTTTTGTAACTTGATAGCTGTAAGACTTGCATGCTTCAAATGCCAGTTTCTGAGCCAACATTTTAGTTGCTAAGCAAGAGCATTGTTAAGTGAGTGTCACCATATTTTACAAGTTGGCCACGCCCACCCAGTCACATGGCTGGCAAGCCACTCCCACAAAGCAGGCCACACATACAGAAGAGTTTCTAAAAAAATTTGAAACCCACCACTGAGTCACATGATTGAGATTTGGGCAACTGATGGGTGTTTTTCATCCCCTCACAACATCCCATGGTCAGGTGATTGCCATTTCTGCACTTCATCACTGGCTACTGACAAGCCAAAACAGGAGGGAAGCCAGCAGTAAAATTGTGATGTCTTGTTTAATAACTGGGGCACTTCACTTAATGACCAAAGAGGAAGTAGGATCATAAGACCACTGCAGTTGCGTGGTATTTCACTTAACAACTGTGTCATTTAGCAACAGAGTTTCCAGCTCCAATTGTGGTTGCTAAGTGAGGACTACCAGTAATACATTTTTTTAATGTGACATTCTTCCTCCCCACCCACCCACCCACCCTTATTAATTCACAAGGAACGTCTATATCAAAGTATAAAAAGGCTTCAGTGTTGTCAACCTTGGACTCATAAAAAATTGTCAACAATTTGACTCTGAGACTCCGGACTAGAAGAAGCCTTATTCGTTCTGAACATAAATGAGGGACATTTCATTTCAGTTTACTGAAACAATTAGATGACCTATACATCAAAACGCACCTTTTTCTAGATGATGTCGATATTTTTCTTTTGTTTTGAACATCAATATGTATTTCAAAGGCGTCCAAAATCTTTCCACTGGACAGAATAATATGCTTCCCTGTTCAGTGCACTCACTCCAGATCTTCAAGCAGTGTTTCTGCTTTTTGGCTTTTTGGATAACTGCAAAAGACAGCTTTGGAAGTTAGCAATGGAATCAGAACCCTTTTTCAGCTGGAAATGGAATACCTGATGATGCCAAGATGAACCACTACAATTTTGAATGCATGAAAACATGCAAAGACATAAAATAGGAATGTGTGGATTAAGAATAGGTAGCCTAATGCCCTCCAGATGTTTTGGACTTCAACTCTCATTAGCTCTAGCCAACATAATCAACAGTAGGGGGGTTGTGGGATTTGTAACCCCAAAGATCTGCAATACACCAGATTGCTTGGGCTTGATATGTTACCAAATTATGCTACTAGTCTTTTATTCCCTTCAACTACCCACCCCATGAGTCAGGATCTCAAGTGATTATACGAGACAAGGAAAGAAGAGAGAGACATGTCTCAAATGTTTTGCCAGACAACTGGGAAACCAATCCACCCAGCAGCAAAGAAACAGAAATAAAAATATGTTCATTATGAAGACATCTGTAGTTGCAAAAACCACATAGTCTTTAAGTTTTAGTCTAGCTTTTGACACTGCAGATTTCACATGCTTTTTTCCATATGCGGTCATACAAACTACAAGCCATAGTAAATGTTGACAGATGTGATCCCAGAGAGCATAACCTGACTCCTACAGTTAGACCTGCCACCATCCCAGCTCTCATTTAAATGCAACAACAACAACAACAACAACAACAACAGTGATGCTCTTCATTCATTCTGTTGTTCAACTATGCATATGATTACTTGGCCTTGAATTCTGACTTAGAAGACAGCAGTGATTGATCCAGAGACTTTTTCTGGCAGTGCACAGCTTGGATAAATAAACTAGACTGCATGATGAATAAATCAACCTGCAGGTGGTCCATTTGCAAGCACCATAATAAAATAAATTTGAAAAATGTAATGCATTTAATAAAGCATCATGCGAGATTAGGGTTCTTGCCTAAAATCTTATGCCCGCTTAAGTTGTTAAGATGAAAACACTAAGATCTCATGATAGCTGAAATGCTAAACTCTCAGGACCTTTGAAATCTCCCAAGATTTCAACCTTCCAAAGTTATTTTTATTTTTTTAAGTATTCTTTAATTTGGGGGGGGGGGTTAGGTATTATGGGCCAGGGAGACCAAAATCAGACGAAGCATGGCACCTACACAATCATACCCAATGACAGAAATGATGGACCACAAAGCATTTTGATGGTTGTGGTGGTGTTTTGCAGTCGTGTCAGAAGCACCAAGGCTCTTCCGGGTTGAAAGGATTTGACAGTGACGTCACAGTTGGCCAGGGGACATCCAGTTGGGGTCTCCTTTCATGTCTCTGGCAGGAGCTGGAGTGAAGGACTCAGCCCCGCCCCATAGCAGCTCTCAGATCTCAAATGAGGGCTTGCTAAACTCCCACCCTATGTCCCAACCACTGGAGCCACTCTCTTCTTTATTTGGTGATGATCTAATGAAACACATTAGGGAAACAGTTGGGAAGCAGTGAGGATGAAGATTCTAGAGAAACGTTCAGACATCATTTATAGTCTCTTTCAACTATCAAGCCCTGGGATGCTTGTGACTTACTCTCTTCAACTGAAGTAATTTTCCGTGGCACAGGAGTAGCCAGAGCAGAAATTATTTCTAAGACATGCTTCTGTTGTGACACTTCCTTCAAAAGGTTCTCCTGGAGAATTGGAGCTAAGTTTGGCTTTATGAGTTTCTGGAAACAAAAGGAAAAGTCAGATATATATATATTCAGTAATTTTGACTAAGCACAAAATCAGCTAACTGACTGCAAAGATTCTTCAAGGCCATCAGAAATAAAATCTGCCTACCATTATTGACCCTGGACAAAAATTAAAATCACTTTCTTCTCCTTGAAGTTGTTATGCTGTAAGGCCAAAGAAAAATGTTCAGAGATAAATTTACCATTATGCACCTCTACTAGCAATAAATGTCTTTTTTGGAGGTTAGGTAGCCAAAATATATGCAATATTTCAACTGTAATCATACCACATCGTTGTAGAAAGATATGAAAATATTCACCACGATAGGTAGCAGCACTTAGCTGATCTTGTCTAATCTTCTAAAAAAACTAATCAAGATGACAATTAGCATTAGTATGAGAAATAACCAGGAAATCTTAGGAAAGTAATTAGGTTGGAAAAATCAAGAAAGTTCCTGAAAAATGGCCACTGTACAATCACCCAGAATCAAACTCTTCTTAAAGGAGATTTTATCTTTTTATAATAACAACAGTTTTACTTTTCTTTTTAAAAAAACTTTAATACTTTTTTTAACTTGAATACCTTATACAGGTAGTCCTCAGCTTACGACAACTGAGCCCAAAATCTCCATTGCTAAGCAAGACAACTGTTAAGTGAGTTTTGCCCCATTTTATATTTTCTTGCCATAGTTATTAAGTGAATCACTGCAGTTGTTCATTTGTAACACGGTTGCTAAGTGAATCTGGCTTCCCCATTGACTTTGCTTGTCAGAATGTCACGAAAGTTGATCACATGGCCCCAGGGCACTGCAACCAACACAATTATGGGCCAGCTGCCAAGCCTCTGAATTTTGATCATGTGACCATGAGGATGCTGCAACAGTCGTGTGAAAAATGGGCATAAGTCACTCTTTTCCTTCAAAAGCGAACAGTCACTAAATGAATAGTTGTAAATTGAGAACTATCTACATACTATTTTTCTTCACACTATTTACGTATGATATTTTCCTCGAATTATCCAACATGCCCACAAAATCCTTTTCCTGCTTATTCTCTACCAATGTAGATCCATGAGACAGTGATGGAGTTCTGATTTTATATTCCAATCGGTATCACTTTACACTTGCTTTTAGTGGAAAACATATGCCAATTTAGCAGTCATTTAATCAGTCCAGAGTAATACAGGCACTTTCAAGTAATGTTATACATTTTTTCCTACCAATTTCAATTGAGATTTCCCCCCCACCCTCCCTCCATGACAGAATAGATTTTCACTGAAATGTTCTGAGGAGAATGGAATATTCTTGTAAATATATAGTTTCAAGAGAGCCAAGGGAAGTGAGTGAACGTTCTACTTTCTGCGAAACTCCACAATTTTGAAGAGAAATTCAAAAGGATTTCTCATAAAGTAAAAAAAAAAAAGCAGAAGATTCTTATGATAATCTTTGAGGGCTTACAAGGTGGATTTTGGCACAGCATTAGTTTAGACCAGTGTTTCTCAACCTTGGCAACTTGAAGATGTCCGGACTTCAACTCCCAGAATTCCCCAGCCAGCATTCGCATTCGCTGGCTGGGGAATTCTGGGAGTTGAAGTCCGGACATCTTCAAGTTGCCAAGGTTGAGAAACAGTGGTTTAGACAAATCTTTTCAGAATTCCTATTTGTTTGCACAACCATCGTTCTAATCACTTTTGATCATCCGTTTCTACAGCAAATTGATGTTTATAGTGAACTCCAGATGCTTTATGAACGCGAGAAGAGGCGTTTCTTCCTTTACAAAATCTTTGGAGGATTCAACTCTTTATAAACCCTTGAGAGATCCCATGGTTTATATTGAAAGAACTTAGCATTTATTCCCGCTCTTTGACTGTTACATTTGCTTAGGAGCCTTTGACTCCTATAATTGAAAATATGCTGACGGCAACAGGCTTTTAGGCAGAGGATCTGTTTGTGAATCAGCATGAATAAGACCTCCAGGCGTCAAAGCATCATGGCTCTTCCAGAAATTGGTCTTTCTCCTCCGGGGATTGTGGCGATCCTGCGGATAACTAGCATGCAGACTCAGCATTCTGGACACCCACTGGCTGGGCAAGAGTTGTATATTGTTGTTACAGCACAAGCAAAGCAGTAGCTCTCTAGCACGACCTTAGATACAGAATTGGTTTTCATCAATTATACCCCTAAAATATATATCATTTTTCCCTGAAAATATGACCTACCCCAAAAGTAAGTCTTAGTTTGATTTTTACGTGTGTGCCCAATATAAGCCCTACCCCTAAAATAAGCCCCATTTAATATTCCACCCACTGCAGGTTTTACCTATGCTGTCAGGCATGCAGTCATATTCCTTTTAGGATCTTTGGCCTGCCACACTCTCTCTTATTTCACTATGCTGTTTCGTTAGTGGGGAATTGGGAGCGGGGAATAGTAAGGAGTAGAATGTTGTTGTCTAAATAAAACATTCCTTTCTAGAAGCCCAAGGTCATTCTTTGTCTTTGCACCTCTGCACCTAACCGGAACTAGATGGGTGGAAATGCCAGCATGGCAGAGGAGGATTGGACCATGTGATGAACTTGTGAGTGTGGGGCAAGATCTTGAACTTTCAACTGGGTGGGGGAAACCAGGAAACTTTCAGATTTGGGTTTTCCACAGATGTACCAACAGGTCTCTCTTATTAAATTGGAACTTTGAGGAAAGCTCTGCCTTGGACTCTGATTTAATTCTGGATGATATTTGCTGACACATGCAGGGTGCATGGGTAAAAACTAAGCTAGGGTGGGGATGGAGAGGAGAGTGGAGCTCTACTACTTACCTACGGACAGTTGCAGCCAGGTCTCGCATACCTCGACACCTGCCTTGCCAGCCCATTTCTTCTGCACCCGGCAAGGTTTTCTGAAGGCATCTGCAGCCAATAACACAACTCTGGATCAATCCAGAGCTCTGTTATTGGCTGTTATTGGCTACAGAGGCCTTCAAGAAAGGCTTGCTGGCCGCAGAAGTTCCTGAAGGCCTCTGACAGCGAAAAGGAGGCCGGCATGATGCACATAAGTGAGTTGAGTCAGTGGATGACATCCTCCCCTCCCCCCAAAATAAGACCTGGTGCCTTTTTTAGTGGCAAAAAAATAAGACTGGGTCTTATTTGCGGGAAAACACAGGTAGCAATACTGTAGCAACAACACTTAGACTTATATACTGCCCCATAGTGCTTTACAGCATTCTCTGAGCAGTTTACAAGGTTAGCATATGCACTGGAACAAGGTCCTTCACAACAAGCACTTCCCTCCTGCCTTCACCCTAAGCCCCGCACCAGGAGGCCAAAGCAGCCCCCCAATTTCTCTCCCTCTCCGACCCTCACAAAAAGACACCGAAGGGGGAGACTCTCTGCAGCAACACAAGCGCTCATTGCACGTATCCGGCCCAGGGGCCGTAGTTTGAGGACCCCTGATTTAGTGCAATATAAAAAATGCAAATAATTTTTCTGCGGACCACTAGTTGGTCACCGCTGGTTCAGAAGGATAAAAATGGTCACTCCCCCACCCCCATACAAGTCCCTCCATGTTCATGAGGATGATCATTGCATATACAATACAATACAATAGCAGAGTTGGAAGGGACCTTGGAGGTCTTCTAGTCCAACCCCCTGCCTAGGCAGGAAACCCTATACCGTTTCAGACAAATGGCTATCCAACATCTTCTTAAAGACTTCTTAAAGACTTAAAGATATGTCGAGGCTTAATCCCAGATTGTCACAGATCCAGATAATCTGTATCCTGCAGAGCCCTCCGTAACTGCAGGCCACCATTTTCTCAACAACCTTCCCCCCCCCCAAATAAAGTAGAAGATGAGACATTAATTATCTGTCCAGGTCTGGCTCCCTGAAGTGGCTTTCAAGGCTCCTAAAAATGTCCTTTCTTCAAAAAAATCAAAACAACCACTGATTATTTGCCTGAATCCAGCTCCTAGTCTTCTCCCTGAACTTTTCATTTACCTGGCCAGGAAGAGGTCCAAGCAGAAGATCTAAAATCAGAGCTCTTCCTTGAGACCCTTAGGCTTAAAAACAAGGCAACACCTCTTCCACCATTTCAAGGTATCACTTCTGTCACCTTAAGAAATCCTCTACCTCCCTTCAGGTCAGAGTAGATCCTGACAACTTTATCAGCAAAACGAGCCATGAAATGCTCAGTTAGTGAACATGTGGTGTATATACATATATTGGAAGCAACACATGTATACATTAAATGTGCAGGAATGTTATGACTTCACATCCTGCTTGGGCTTTTCCCAGAGGCGACTGTTTGGTTATTGCATGGGAAATAAATATTACACTGGCCAACTCTTTGATCTAATACCACAAAATATTTTTGTCAGATTCATACATGTTTACATTTGGCAATGAGTTCTGAATGGTTCAACAGCTTGCAGGCCATAAAATCTCCCCAGCACAGATTATAAAGTTACTGTATTATAATATGACTCCCGTTCTGCAGGACTAAAAACAGCACAAGGTTCTAGCTGGCTGGGTGAAAACTGTATTCCTCACCTGCAGAAGGACCCAGCAGAGTTGCAAGTGGATTTCCAGCAGTCTGTCCAAGTCATCACATCCTGTGGTCAACTCCTTTTCCATGTGGGCATCACAACACAGAGAAGAAAGAGTGGCATCATTGTAGATGCTGGTTCCAAGCACATGAGGAGAGAAGAAGCATGTAATAAATCATAAATGCAAATCAGGAGAGGAGAGAGCTAAGCTTCCATCCCATCCCATGGATCTGCAACCCAACAAGACAGACACAGACTTCAGAGGATAATCAGAACTGCAACCCCCCGCCCCCTAAAAAAAAACACCAATTATTGCCAACCTGCCTTCCATTGAAGACCCGTACACTGCACGAGTCAAAAAGAGGGCTGTGAAAATATGTATTTACCCCTCGCATCCTGGACATATATTGTCCAGGATACCTACCTACCCTCAAAACGACACTTCAGAGCACTTCACACCAAGACAACTAGACACAAAAACAGTTTTCTTCCCGAACGCCATCACTCTGCTAAACAAATAATTCCCTCACCGCTTTCAAATTATTCACTAAGGCTGCATTACTATTACTATTAGTCTTATCATCGTCCCTATCACCCGTCTCTTCCCCCCTTATGACTGCAGGACTGAAACTTGTTGCTTGTATCCTTATGATTGATATTGATATTGATTGTTTCCTGATTGCTTATTGGTACCCTATGACTATCATTAAGTGTTGCACCTTATGATTTTTGATGAATGTATTTTGTTTTTTTATGGACACTGAGAGCATATGCACCAAAGACAAATTCCATGTGTGTCCAATCACACTTGGCCAATAAAGAATTCTATTCTATTCTATTCTATTCTATTCTATTCTATTCTTTACACTAGAGGAGTCCTCGACTTACAATCACAATTGAGCCCAAAAATTTATGTTGCTAAATCAGATTGTTAAGTGAATTTTACCCCATTTTACAAACTTTCTTGCCACAGTTGTTAAATGCATCACTGTAGCTGTCAAGTTAGTAACATGGTTCTAAAGTGAATCTGGCTTACTCACTGACTTTGCTTGTCAGAAGATCGCAAAAAGGGGATCGCACGACCCCAGGACACTGCGACTGTTATAAATATGAGACAGTGGCCAAATGTCTGAATTTTGATCCTGCGACTATGGGGATACTGCAACAGTCGTAAGTGTGAAAAATGGTCACAAGTCACTTTTTTCTAGTATCATTGTAACACTGAATGGTCACTAAACTAGCTGTTATAAGTCAAGGACTATCTGTATTCCCTTTATATTGTGATAAAAATCAGAGTAAAAGTCTCTGGGACATAAAAATTTTAAAAAAAAAACATAGCAATGTTGGAAAAAAGAATAGAACAACAGAAAGGTAAAGGTTCCCCTCACACATATGTGCTAGTCGTTCCCGACTCTAGGGAGAGGTGCTCATCTCCGTTTCACAGCCGAAGAGCCAGCGCTGTCTGAAGATGTCTCCATGGTCATGTGGCCGGCATGACTAAATGCCGAAGGCGCAAGGAACATTGTTACCTTCCCACCAAAGGTGGTTCCTATTTTTCTACTTGCATTTTTACATGCTTTCGAACTGCTAGGTTGGCAGAAGCTGGGACAAGTAATGGGAGCTCGCTCCATTACACGGCACTAGGGATTCAAACTGCCAAACTGCCAGCCTTTCTGATTGACAAACTCAGCGTCTTAGCCACCGAGCCACCGCGTCATCAGAAGAGCTCAGTTAATTCAAAAGGGCTTTTACTGGACAGGGAGGTTCATCTCACTTTTGGCTAGTCTTGAGAACTTCAGTCCCAACCCAACCCAAGAACATCAGGTTAGAGATGGCTGCTTTGATTGCTACCGTAACCAACCAGATGCCTCTAATAAGTTTGTAAGTGCAGCATGAGGCCAATTGCCCTCCCAGCAGCTGATATTTGGTAGCACAAGATCCCTGCACATTCAACTATGTTCAGGGATTAATGGATACTGAATTTGGCTAACCCCATTTTAAAGCCTTGACATGTGATATGTCTTCTATGCCACTAAAACAGTCAGACTGACTTATTTATAAAACTCTTATAACAGGGACAAGAAACCTTCAGCTCACAAGCCTATTCTGGCCTGTCAGGACAAGTATTTAACTCAAGAAATCTTGAATGAAAACTCCTTTGGCCTGAACCAAATGTTTTCATTCCTCCACCCCAACCGAGACTAGTCGGCTTAAACTGTCCTATTGCATGTTTCCCCATGGAGTGCTTGCTCCAGTTAGGTAAAAATGACATGCTTTAGTAAACTGAGCATATGTTGTCAATTTTCACTCTCTCCGCTCCCCCTGGCTTTCTATTTTCAAGCCTCAGTTTATAGTCAGTGTAGGGCTAGAAAAATGTTATGATAAAGTGTTATTACGGCAGTTAATAACCTTGTATGGAAGCATCTACCTGGTGCTGCAGGTCCTTACACTTCCAAAGGATGAGAGTTCATCAGCACTGCAGTCGGCATTGAGGAAGTCAAAGCTTTCCAACACAGTCTCTACCATCAAACTTTCCATAGAAGAGTGTTTTGGATGATACTTTTTGGGCTGTTGGTGACACAAAGCAAGCTATATTTCCATGCACACAGGAACACATTCTATCCAGAGAATGACAGTGTTCTCAAAAGCATCCCTAATAAAATATAGGGAAATCCTTCTTCTAATCACAGATTTGCTTTCTTAACAATGTGGCCACAACCACCACGTGTATACAATATAATGCATGCACAGCAGGAGTGTCAAAGTCAATTTCATTGAGGGCACATCAGGGTTGTGTTTGATCTTGGGGGGGGGGGGGGGGTGGCCAGCTTGAAATAACTTATGTTGGGGCGCCTGTGGTGGTGGTGACCCAAGTGCTCTATCAGTGAGCCCTGAGCCCTGTTTCCGGCTGCGATGGCTTCCTGAAACCCTTTGCCAAAGAAAATGGAGCCTGGGAGGGCCACACACATCCTCCTGCAACCCTCTGCCAGAGAAAACTGAGCTCGGGAGGGCCACAAGGGCCTTCACTGTTTCCAGGTCAGCCCCGTGGGCTAGATCTAAGCACCCCATGGATTGGAATTGGCCCACGGGCCTTGAGTTTGACACCCCTGATATAAAGATTCTTAGAGATATTGCAATTTAACATTTCTCGGTACAACTGAGGTAGGATGAAAATTATGACTATTCATAGATATCTTGGGCAACAAAGTTCTTGAATGCAGACACCAGAGCTCTTCTCAAAGTGTTGAAATAATTATATTGAATGTTAATTACATTTACTTGTCAATTAAATCTATTTTAATTTTTCACCTGTTTGCACGTACATAAGTAGAACAATATATGCATATATTAGGTTTTCCTAATCTAGTGGGTTCCAAGCATTTGGTGGACTTCAGAGCCTACAATCTACTAGCCAGCCTTTTCAAAATCCAAATAGTTGGAAGATTTCAATACCTTTAATTTGTCCTGGATACAGAAGACCTGGTATTCCAATTCCTCCAGGGGAATAGGACTTGGACCCTGTGACTTCAGCAAATTTAATACTTCCTGTAGGATCTTCTGAATTGACTTGGTCTTTCCAGTAGGTTTGGCATCATCATTATCATTCCAGTCTCTTTGTTCAACAGAGAGAATCTTTCTTTCTTGCTCTGAAGGGTAATGCCAGTCCCGAGTGATGGACTTGCCACCATTTTTGTCTTCTTCCAGCCGACATGATGGAATACTTAAAGAGGTTTCAGCATAGGGTGTCTCTTGTAGGATATCTAAAGTTCTGTGGCCAGGAGGCTGACATATTGAAATATCCCGTTCCTCTCCTTCTGCACAATTATTCTGCAGAATAGCCAATGGCAACTTCCTTTGATTTGATGGTGGAGTCATGTTTCTACTTTCTGTCACTTTCTGGTCTTCAGAACTAAATGAACTTCCTTCAGTTGTCTCTGTAAGGCTGTGACTTACACTCCTCAGACGCATGTTAAAATCACAGTCATCCAAGTAGCTCAGGATGCAGGAATCTTGGGTCTCTTCCCTGATATTTGCATGTTTCTTTCCTTGTTGCAAAACCGACTGTGGGAAACAGGTGAAAAATGCAATTCGCTTTGAAACATTGTACTGACCTTCATACTCAGCTCAACTCTTAAGTTAACATGTCTCAGAAGGTGGCAGCACATGGCAACATTTGTAATGAGTTCAGAAGCTAAATAAGTTTGGACATGGGTAGAAAACTTCAGATAACACTGAGGCTGTAGACTAAACAACAGCAAAATATCCAGAATTTTTATATATTATACATTATAAATTACTTTATAATGCTAATGAAAACTAGGAAGGAATCAACATCTCAAAGATATTAATGTTACATTTTTTTCAGTTGCATGCTTTGGGGTTTTTCCCCACTATTTATACAAGTTAGCAGTGTGTCATTCTCAAGTATGTCTTTTCTTTCTCACATTGTCCTTTCTCTAAGCTATTATGAATAACAAACTAACCATGATCCATTAATTAACTCTAATCAAGTTTAGTTTCTCAAGACCTAAAATGGTCATCTAACATCAAAAATGTCATCAAAAAACCACAACGAAGAATGTTTTTCTGCACCAACTCAGAAAGCTCAAACTGCCCAAGGAGCTGCTGATACAGTTCTACAGAGGAATTATTGAGTCTGCCATCTGCACCTCCATAACTGTCTGGTTTGGTTCGGCAACCCAACATGATAGACACAGACTTCAGAGGATAATTAGAACTGCAGAAAAAACAATTACTGCCAACCTGCTCTCCATTGAGGACCTACATATTGCATGAGTAAAAAAGAGGGCTGTGAAAATATTTACAGATCCCTCGCATCCTGGATATAAATTGTTTCAACTCCTACCTTCAAAATGACGCTATAGAGCACTGCACACCAGAACAACTAGACACAAGAACAGTTTTTCCCCGAATGCCATAACTCTGCTAAACAAATGATTCCCTCACCACTATCAAACTATTTACTACATCTGCATTACTATCACTATTAATCTTCTCATCGTTCCTATGACCCATCTCCTCCCACTTATGACTGTATGACTGTAACGTTGTTGCTTGTATGGATCCTTGTATCTAATTTATATTGATTGTTTCCTAGTATGATTTTATTGCTTATTTGTACCCTATGACTGTCATTAAGTGTTATACATTATGACTCTTGACGAATGTATCTTTTCTTTTTATGTACACTGAGAGCATATGCACCAAAGACAAATTCCTTGTGTGTCCAATCACACTTGGCCAATAAAGAATTCCTATTCTATTTTAGCTTAGCAAAGAAGGGAAATTTCTCTTGTATCGATGGCTCCCTAGAATGCTTTTTTTCAGATTTCACATCTTAGGACAACCTTCTTGAGATGATTGGTTGAATTCAAAAAAATTCAAACAGCAGTCAGCCCA